GGGGACTCCACAGCAGTCAGACACCCTGGAAAGATTTATCTTCCAATCATTTTTCTCATTACTGAGTGAGAAACTCCATGACCACAAGCTCCATTGGTGATGTGTTCTGACTTCAATGCACAACACAAGTATCTTCTCATGTCTGTCCCAACACACTCTTTTATTCTCTCTGGCTCCTATGAGAAATCGTGAGGAGTCATTCCCTATCCACCCTTTCTCTGCATTAATGTTTTAGAGATCTTTTTCACATACTACATCAGCTGTTTCTCTCCAGGCCAAAAAATCCTAGCCATTTACTTATTCTTCATATTAAAGTAAATGATCACTGAATGACTAAACCTGAACTGGCTGCTCCTCTATCAGTCTGGTGCTACAAGATGATCAACCTTTTGCTGTTCACCTGCAATCTCCAATGTCATCCAGGTCTAATCCGTGGGCCCACGATTAAACAGCTCTTCAACTGCACCCTTTTTTTAATTTGCTTTAACATATATGGAAAATAAATAAGCGTTACAAAGAAAATAGGAGCAAAGTTCCTAGAAGCTAGTGAAAGCCAGGGTGCACAAAACCATGGGAAACTATAAATAAAGAGACTTGGTTGAGCATGTTTGGGAACTGTCTCATTCCTCTTGAAAGAATATGAGGATTTGACATTGGATAATAAAGTCATTCCTAATTTTACACCAAGAACATCACAAACTGCCTTCAACTCCAAATAAAAATTTAATCTAATCTAACACAAGAGATTAGATTGGCAAAAATCACTGACAGGGAAATTCTAAATTATATTCATATCTGTTTGATGGTCAGTTATCCCACATTTTCTAATATTGAAGGCACACACAGCACCAAGGCACCACTACCTTCACAAAGACACTGTGGTTTAAGAACAACAGGCTTTGCAGAAGTCTCACGCTGACAGTATCACTGGAGCAGTACTGTGATACCATAGTGGTTAAATAAGCATTCTGGCAACAGTGAGATTTTATACACATGGCTGTGACACCTGCTATCTATATTTACATTTCAGGACTTCTGAATCAGTATAGCAGGTGTTATCTGAAAAATATCAGAGAGTCACAGGAAAACAATAGCACAGGGAAACTTCAAAATGTCCCTGGACAACCACATTCGTTCAGTGACAGAGTGCCTTTCCCATTCTCCCATCCTACACATCTTTTATACATAAGCTTTTTTCTGAAGTTTGGAAAAAACCAAACTTTTAGGTTTGTTATAAGAAAAACATTTTCCTCTGTGAATGTAGTTCTCAGATACATCTTTCTGTATACATATATCCCAAAGGATGACAGGACATATCTTTAAATACATGGGCTTCTCAAAGTTGTCTGTTCATGAAACCAAGACTTCAAAATACTTCTAAAGTCCACTTTGACTCAGATACTCTAAAAGGTGCAATAGGTCATACAGTGGAAAAACAGAGTTTTCAATCTAAATTTGCAGTTTACATTAATCGTTTTGAAAACTGCTGCCTTGTGGGTCACAAACATTGAGTCAGGGTCTGTGACTGGGTTCCCATAAAAGAATTATTTCCCTCTTGCTTGCCAAAATAGCTGGGGTCTGCTCATTCTGCCAGTGCTCACTACTCCACTCCAAGCAAAGCCTGAAAGTGGAAAAACTAAGGGACACAGAAGACAAGGAAAAGGTTTGTAACAAGACTTTTCATCTTTTTTCTTCCCCAAACTCAGAAATGAGACTCACTGAGTGGCTGCAGCTCACATTCAGAAGAGCTACTATGCCTCTCAGTCAACCTAACTGCATGAACAACTAAAAGTCAGTGTATTCATTGAGCCCAATTCCTTCTCCCTTAAAATACCCACTTTAAAACAGTAAAACTGACACAAAGCAAGATTTTAAATACTAAAAATGGTTTTGATTATTCAAACCAATAAAATAATTAACCAAAGGAAAGTAGAAACTCTAATGTGAGAAAGTTGGACTCCGTAATCTTGGAGGTCTTTTCCAGCCTAAATGTTTCTGTGATTCTGAGAACCAAAGCAAACAGAGAAAAGCAGCTACAAGCAAAATTATGAGGTAGAATTTTACAGAACTTAAAAAGCAGACAAGGAAACACAAGCTGAAACCTCAGAGAAAGTGCTGAAAAAGAATTTATTTTTAAAAGGCTTTCTTGATACAAGGACCTGAGCCTGGAAGCTTCTAGAGAACTCCAGAATCACCTTTTAACAAAGAATAAATACACAAAAGAGACCCAAGCCTGTCTTTAAAGAGAAAAGTTTTAAAAAATTTTTAAATGGTTCATGCTACAAAAATCCTGCTTCATTCAAGGAAAGCTATACTTTGATGTGAATCCTGTGCTAAGGAAGAGAAGAATATTCTGCAAGGAATACTTCGAGCAAGAATCCAGCTACTAGCATGCCAGGAAGAAAATGGTAGAACAAGCTGGAAAGAAAAGCTAAATTATATGTTGATAAATTAAATTGATTCACAGAAGCCATGGGGCAGTCAACAAACTAGATAGGGTTAGTTAGGGAAAGTAAAGGTAACCCCTATGATAAAAAAAGGGGAGGAAGTTAGTTGTAGAGAAAGGAAATATCTGAAAAGCACAGAGCCAAAGGAGGAACGGAGAAATCCATCGCCAAAAAGCTGGGACAGCTGGGATTGTAGATAATAAAATGTGGGATTCAGGTAACAGTATTCAACTGTTCCTAGTTGAAAGCCATCCAGACGTCCCATCAAGATGGACAAAATATTCAATACATCTGTTCCAAACTTGTCAAGAAAGCCCACTTATACAGGAAAAATAGTAGAGAGTTCATATGAATTCAAGAAACAAGGCATGTAACTCAGTAATTAATAATTAATCAAACTACACAATGCCAAATCAATTATTCAGATTTCAATGCTAATGTTGCAATAGTAACTCCATAAATAAACTTTTCAAAAGGTATCCAGTCCCACAGCACTTTGCCTAATGAATTCTAATGCAAAATTGATGTAAAGTATGTTGTGAACTGGGTATAACAATAACAGATCTCACAACATGATTGCAATGTCACTCAATAGATACATTTTTCATGGAGTGCTGCAGGAATCACCCTGGTCCTGCACAGCACAGAATTAATAACTTGGATGAAAATAAAAGTATTTGAAAATATGAAGTATTTGAAGTGGGATCTAGAAGAGAAGAGTTGGAAGGAAAAGTTGCTAATACAATGAAGCAGAATTCTCTCAACCTCACTGCTGATGAAACACTTGAAAATGCCATAAAAAAAGATAGTGCACATTTTGAAAAGAAAATATGTCATAAAAAACAATCTTGTGAAGAATAGCTTCAAACCGTAACTGAAATGTCAGAGTTTTATAAAAAAGAAGCAAAACTTCTGCGGGAAGCAGGCCTCATGCTGCCATCTAGAGGAGACTGGTCAGCAGCAGGCTTTGTCCTGCTTTTGACAGCCAGTGTCAATGCACCAGCCAAGTCAAGAGGGGACCAGTACATTTCAGTACAGAGAAATAACCAAACCATATACGTCTGAGATAAAACCACAAGCCTCTTAACTTTAATGAACAGATATTTTGGCTTTTTTTTTTTTCTTGTTCTCTCATTTATCTAAGTCCATAAGAGAAAATAATCTAAGGACAGTATTAGGAAAAACAGTCCTGAGCAGTTTCTGTACAAATTCCACAACTAATTGTTAGTAAGAATTTTCAAAGATAAATGTACATTACAACACACAGAATAGTCAATGGATTACAGTAAAGAAAAACTGCCTTCAGTGAGAAGAAGTTACAAGCATGGAAAACTGTCATAAAGGTTGAAAATTAAAGACTTAAGTTATAACTGTTGAGCCTCATATTTTAGTTTTCACCCACTTTGTCTTCTTTATGTATGCACTTGTTCTCAGTAAAAAGAAATGGAACCACATGTAACAAGTATCACACATGCAATAAGGAAGCAAACACCTCCCTAGCTTTACTGCAACTCAGGCTCTGCTAAAGTCCATTTAGCAGAACAACACTGTCTGGCATCAGAACCTACAGCTCAACTGAGAAAGCAAACTATCAGCCAATCTTTGCATTTGACTCAGTTTTACATTGTTATACTTTAACTTCTACTCCACCAAATGCTTCACACAGTCTTAACAGATATTAGCACTGAAAGTAAAATAAACTCTAAGTATGTTAAAACAAGCTTAATGATTTTTTATTAAGAATGCATTAGGCTATCCTATCTCTGCAGTCAGAAAGACTCTAAAGATTTACTACTAAGTTGTATTACCCACTAAAAGGAAGGTGAAAGATTTGAAACTTCTGGTGCTTTGTGTAGCCCAAGAGAAATTACAACCAGGGTCTATGTTAGAGAATAGCTAAACAGAAAAAAAAAAAAGTGTTGGTATGTATGGGTAGCATTAAAACCAAACTCTACAATACTCTTGAAATCCTCAAAGCTAGATCAACCTGTTAGCAAGAGTCCTAAACGAGACAATGAAAGGAGCTCTTCCTTCAAAAAACTACAGTAAGAGTTGGCTGTTTGCAACTGGGATGAAAGTCATAGTTATTACTCAATGACATCACTGCCTGCCACAATTGAGTATAGAAAGAAGTAACAGCTACAGAAGCAGAAAGCAGTATGAATAGCCAAGTGACAGGAGAATCCTATGCACAAATTTCCCTGTGGAGGCAGTGCATGAAATTTGAGAGAAGTACTGCCACAATTATTTTGAGAAATACCTTTAGAATTTGAGTGGGAAATTAAGTGAAGTGACCTGATTTGTGCAGCACAATGTTAACTCAGGTACAGAAGTCTCTGTGCCACTGGGTAACACCAGACTGACACACGTTTTCCCCCATGCAGGTAGGCTGTAAGTTGGAGATGTAAGCTCATTCTCTCATCCTGTTGCAGGAGGTCACTGTAAAACACTTGCCAAATCTGTCAACACACTTTTCCAGCTACCAATGTACAAGCACACGCTTCAGTGGAAAGATTTGGAATGCAGTCAGTCATATCTGTGTACAGCACTTACATTCATCCAGTCCCAGCTGATAAGCCAGGTTCTGCAGGCCACGAACTTTTTCCATCAGATTAGCTGTAGTAAGGCTTCCCAACTCTTAAAAAGAGAGAAAAAGACTAATTTTAACCCTCTCTATAGTCCTCCAATGGCAGTTCACCTGTTTAGTACTTCACAGAGCACTTTCAAGCCATAATTCTGTCAGGATCTGTTTCAGTGAACAGTGAACGTTCAAAATTCAAGCTGACTCCACTCTTAATTTTAATGTAAGGAGAAAGGCAGCCATGACTCTAGTTCATGCTTTAATCTGCCACCATTGCAAAGAGTAATTTGACCTATACTTTAGAAGTTCCTCTAAGTTCACACTGCAACATGAACAAGCTATAAAAAAGTATGCAAGGGAATGGACTTATTTTGCATTAATAATGTGAGTTCAAGCCCATTTCTTGGAGCGAGTCAGAGTTAAATCATCTCACTTTCACTCTGTAGCTGTGACATGTCACTGTGACACGATCACACACCATCATTCAGAATTCATGACAGGAAGAGCACACTGAAGGATGTTTACTGCAAATTAACAGCTGCACCATGAAGAAAGTGCACATGCTAGCTAATCCTGCTGTAACTTGCCTGTACAGACTCACCATTGCATTGGAGCTCCTGGATCTGTGAGGGAACACACACACACGCAGAGCATCTCTGAACAAGTCAATCAACAAGTCTAAACTATTCACCAACTGATCAGCTAAGCCCCTCCAAAAAATTAATGATACTTTGCAAAATGCAGGAGATGCTCACTATACTTATATATGGTGATAAAAAGGCTAAGGGAGGTGACTGAAATATACACAATATTACATTGCTTATTTTGAAAAATCAGCCTGCTACTGATATCTGGATAGGCTCTTGGAAATAACTGGTTTAATGAAAATGTCTATCATTAACAAGATGAAGAGACTTATGAGTTGGAGATTCTGCAAATATGATGGCTAGAGATCTCAGGCCATAAGGCCACCACCAAAACATTTAAAGAACAAGTGTTTTAAGCCTCTTAAGTAACTACTGAATTCCCATCTGCTTTGGCAACCTTAATTCCTGCCCACAATATTCATACTCACCCTTCAACATATCAATATCATCATTTTCTAATTCAGCCATCCACTTGGGGGGAGAACTTGTAATGGGCTGTTTTGAAAAAAATAGCAGTTCATATTCAGAAAAGTCCATTTTTAGAATTATACAATGAAGTACGATCTGTATTGAAAACTAGTTACACCAACACCAAAGTATGAGAGTGTGCTCCATAGAAATACCTTTATGTTTAATCTTGCTTTTTCCTGGACACTTTAGAGTTAAAAACGGCATACCACCATTCGCAAGCCAAAAAATCAGTATGAAAAATAGGATTTTCTGAAGTTTAAAAGCCTTTACTGCTTCCAAAGTATAATTCTCATACACAGTAAACTACAGAAGGCATAAAAAGAAACATATATATATAAAAGATACATTAAAACCAAAAGCTATATTGTAGCATATAATGGACTTATTACTGAGATACGGTTCATAGAAGATGTAAAGCGCGCAAGAGAACCTGCCGATCTACTATTACACGGAAGGAAGAAACGCGAAAGGCAAAGCAGCGCTCACTCACGCTTTTGAAGGAGGCGGCGAACTCGGCAACCCCGGGAACTGGGGAGAGAAAGCGGAGGTGGGCACGGGGTGAGCGCTTCTGCGGGCAGCACCGCCACCCCGCCCGCCCGGCCCGGCCCGGCCCGTGCAGCCGCCCCAGGGAGGCCCGGCCCTGCCCGCCCGGGCTCTCCCCACCCCACCCCGAGCTGTCAGACTCGGGGCCGCGGGCCCGCCGGACTTACGCTGCTCGGGCCACAGGTCCGGGGAGGCGCGGTCCAGCTTCTCGAAGCTCAGCAGCGAGGTCTCCAGGTCGGCGCCTGCAACAGAGAGGGGGTGAGGGGAGTGCGGGCGGGGAGCGGCGCGGGCGCGGCGGTGCCGCCCGGCCCTCCCGCCTCACCGTCCGCCGGAGCCGCCATGGCGCGCGCCTCACGTGACCGCGCTCGCGGCCGGGCCGAGCGGGAGCGGGAGCAGACCCCGCCCCAGCCCCACGCGCCGCGCTCGCGGCTCGCGGCCGCCGCGGGGCGGAGCTGGGCCGGGCGGGGCCGGGCCGTGACGCTCGGAGGGCGGCTCGGCCCCCTCCGCCAATCCGCGGCCCGGCACGGGGGGCGGGGGCCGCGGGGGGCGTGGCCAGAGCGGCTGCTGGCGGCGATTGGCCGCAGGCCGCGCGGGGGCGGGGCCGGGGCGGGGGGCGCGGCCGGGGGCCTCGGCCGGGGGCCTCGGAGCGGGGACCCTCGGCCGGGATGGCGGCGGCGGCGGCGGCGGCGCGGGGAGCGTGGGGCGGGCGGCGCCGCGTGGCGCTCAGGGTGAGGCGGCCGATCCCAGCCCGCCGCGGCTCGGGGGGCGCAGGGGGGTCGTGGCTCACCTGACCCCGGGGCCCCGCGGGGGGTCGGTTCCGGGCGGGAGCAGCCGAAGGGGGGTCGGGGGGAGGTGCTGCCTGGCCCGCCCTGAGGTGGTCTGTGCTTGCCCCCCGTTCAGCTGCCGCGGAGAGCCGGTGCCCCCTGGATCACCTCAGTCGCCGCGTCCTTCTCTTCCTCGGTGGTGAGTGCCCGTCCCGCGGAGCGGAGCCGGTGGGCGGGGAGGGAGGCGCGGGAGAGCCCCGGGCACCGCCGCCCGCCGGACACTGCCCTCGGCTCTGCTCTGCTGAGGCCGTTCCCGCCGGCTCGGCTGGAACCCCGGCGGGTCCGGGCGGGTCCGGTGGAACAAACCGGATCGGCACTGCGCCCGTGATCGGCGGGAGGAACGGAATAAAGTTCCATGTCCGATTTGTCGGACTACGGAGCTGAGCGGTGGCCGCCCTCACCTCGCGTTACTCCTGGCCTCATGCATCTGTTTGCGCCAGAGAGAGGATCTGGTTTCTTTCGGACAGTATCAAACAGCTTTGGTTGTTGTACTGCCTATTTTCCTCTGCTGTCCATGGCTGCACACTCTCCGCACTCCAAACCAGAATTCCACAAGTAGTCTGCTTTACTACAGTCCATGTTTCCTCAGCAGGTGCATTCTCTACATAAAAAAGGTGGCGATCTTATGGGAAAAGTGCAATTAATTTTAATTCATTCGAGCCATTTCGTGGCTTGCTTAAAGTATTTTTTGTTGTGTGTGCAATGTTTGAGATACCCTTTTTAAGCAATTTGAAAAAAAACATTAAATCCATTGCACTGAAGTCTGTGTCGGTCATAGAGCACTGGAGCTTGTGGCTGCACTGCATTAGCCTCGGTGGCACTGAGGCTAGTAGAAGTTTGTCATTCTTTAGACCAGCAGCTTTTCTGACAGTCAGGAAACTTGGTCAAGGGACTCAGATTTCCTGTGCTTTCTTCCAGGTTCTAGAGGAGATTGTGTTTTTGTAGGCACAGATTTCTGCCTCTCTTCCCCAAGTGTGAGTCCAGCTACATAATCATCTGCAACTTGTTCATTTTAATTCTCTTCTAGCATTGCTTTCCAAATCATTAAGTTTTGCTTGTCCATTAACAGACTTATTTTATACTTCTGATCCTAACTTTCTCATCTCAAAACTTTCTCAATTTGTTCCAACTAACATTGCTGCTAATTTTTTTTCACTTTTATCCACTTTTCATTGTCATCACTTGTCCACCCAGTACCATTTATGTTCCTGATTCTTCCTCTGATCTCTGTCACTTCATTACACTTTGGATAGCATCCAAGTTCTCATCTCCCTTTCATAATTCCACATCATAATTTCTTCATTTTTCTGATATATTTGGGTTTATATCCCAGTTTTGTTGATCTGTCCCATTTCTGTTATTCATACAGAAGATCCATTTCCCCTTTCTCTTACCTGTTCTCCCCAAGTCATGGTTTTGTGTCATGATTAACTGGTTCTTGCTTTCTCCTAGTTCTGTCCTTACCTCCCAATGTCAATTCCTCTTTTATAGTTTCTTAATTTATACAGTCACAATTTGTTTTCTTGCATGGTACAGTTTTGTTGCCTATCTAATGCTAATTACAGCTTTTACTTCTGCCTTCTGTTCTGTTCTATGTTTGTCTGAACTCCTTATTCCAAACTTTCCTTGTCCCTCCTCTTCATCTGAGTGGGAAAGTTTTCTTTTCTGTGCTGCCAGCCAGGATAGTCCACAGATACAGGTTTCTTGCTCTTAGTTGCAACACCAAGCAAGGGGTGGGGAAAGTCCAATTTTCTGCTTGAGGCTATAAACTGGAAAGATGAACCTGCTTAGTGGCTTGATGGGAAGGAGGCACATGGGACAGTGGTACAGTCTGCGCTGGGTTCACAGAATTCCCATGAAGTGAATTATTAACTGTTTCTTCTGAACATTTATGAGTTGAAGTTTTTCAGGTTTTGATTAAATAGATTGAAACAATCCCAAACATAAGCAGAGTAATGATTTTTTTTTCTGTAACTGCTTTTAGAAAGAATTTTGGCTATTTTGGTGTAAAGAGAGCAAAATGGGGCAGAGAGCAATTATCTGGGTTCTTGCTGTGAAGACTGGATACAGACTCTAGTGGTTCACATAGCAGTAAATGATAAAGGCTTGCATGTAATAATGGCACATTGGTATTTAGGCATGTTGAGACAAAAATAACTCACTGTCCACTGTTTTGACTTCCACAGCCAACAACCAAACTCTTCATTGATGGGAAGTTTATTGAGTCCAAAACTACTGAATGGATTGATATCCACAACCCAGTAAGTGAAATGGTCTCAGCTTATGTAAATAGTGATCACTGTGAGGTCTGTGCCTCTTCAGGGATGTGGCAGAAGAAAAACATACATATATTTCTTGAGAAGGGTTTAGACTCGGCAGACTACATCTTCTCAGTTTCCTTTTCACATGAAATATCAGTCTCAGAATAAGTTACTATCACCTTTACCTTCCTCACATAGTAAGTTCCTGATTTCCAGAAAGGAAGCTTAAATTCTGGTTATTCTTTTTTTTTACTAGAAAGGCTTTGTGAGGAGTATGTCGAATTTCTGAAGGGTGTCTTTCACTCTGTATATGAAATCAACTGGATGTGATTTGATCCCAGCTGAACGTGAAATCCTGATAGAGGCTGATATTACTCTCAGAGTAAAAAGGTGAAAATTGCTGACAGCTGAAGCTCCTCTCCTTTCAGAGAGCTTCTATCTGTTGACCCACAATAATCACAGAGCTGGATGCTATGCATGCAAAATAGATAAGTAGCACTTGTGTTGTCTATGTACTCCACCAAAGACAAAAGGAAATGAGGTTGCACTCAGAATTCTGATCCTCCTGGCCTTCCTAGTAAGCCTTTAAACAGCAGTTTCTGTATCTTCTCTGTACAGCTCTATTTTCATTTGCTTTGTGGAAAAGATCAGAGCAGCAAGTAATGTTCATGAAGCTCATTTGGTCTATGTAGCAAGCAGTGCTATAGTGTAGCAAGCAGAGTCATTTCTCTCTTACTGATATATCTGAGATCTTTGTCATGTCACAGCAGATTTAATTTTTAAGATAACATTAGAAGGAGGTTAAACTGGCACCAAGCTTTAAGTTAAAATACTATAGAATTAAGGTTGTATGTAAATATAGTACATGGGATATAGGTAAGCTAACATCAATAGCAAATATACAGTCATGTACTGCTTTTCACAAAGGAATATTGCCTCATTTAATGTGCAAGAGGCACATCCAGATGATCCAAGACGATGGAGAGGAAAAAGACCATAGTCCACGGAAAATTTTGCCTTATACTCTCTAGAAGTTTCAAGATAGCCAAGTCACTTCAACTCCAGCTTGGAAATCAGCACTGCATTTGTAGTTTTCTGAGTGCCTAACTTGATATATTTGGAATGCAGGTTTTCAGAACTACTCCAGTTGTAGCCCAGGCCTTTTGTGTGCAATCAAGGAAGGCATTTCCTTTGTGCTCTGCCCTCAAAAGTACAACTTGTAGAACAAGAATATTAGGTGTGTGCTGTGAAAGGACTCTTGAATGGTTGGTGGGAACACATAGGAAAAGCTGAATTTTGATGCAATTTATTTTCTCTTTCAGGCCACAAATGAGGTGGTTGGCCGTGTACCAAAAGCCACAGCCAGTGAGATGGAGGCAGCTGTGGCTTCTTGCAAAAAGGCTTTTTGGAACTGGTCAGAAACATCTGTTTTGAGTCGCCAGCAAATTTTTCTGCGCTATCAACAGCTCATCAAAGACAATCTGGTGAGATACCATGGCTCTGTGTGATGTCTATGGCTGAATGCATTGCAGCTGATTTCAGAAACTAAATTGAGAGAGACTTGGGTTTACAGAGTTCTTGATGAGGTGCTGCCATGATTGAGGAATCAACTGAGACTGTCAAGAGTTGCAGCAAAGCACTTCCCATCAAATGGTAACAGAGAGGCAGCACTTCTTAGGGAATATTGCTCTGAATTTGTCCCTTTACCAAGAGACCACAGAAGGAACTTTGAGCCTTGATGGAACATGTGTCAGTTGATAAAGACAAGTGTGTTACTATGTTTTTGGGTTTTCCTGATGGATTTTTTGGTGTCATACCTGAAAGCATTAGAATACAAACCATCCTAGGATGATTTTTTCTAAAATGTCACCTAGGTGGGTTATTGGCATCTTGTTTATAAGGAGCAAATCAGTCAGTATAGGTTTTTCTGGGTTGTGTTCAGTCTGTTCATTGTGATGTTCAACTCTATGTTAATTCTGTCTTTTTCATGGGCAGGCACTTTTCTAACATTCATAAACTTTGTGTTTTCCGTTTTCAGAAAGAAATTTCCAAACTCATCACCTTTGAGCAAGGGAAGACCCTGGCTGATGCTGAGGGAGATGTTTTCCGAGGCCTCCGTAAGCTGTTGGCTCCTCCTGTTAAAAAAGGGGGTTTGAGAACCCACAGGAAGGGATGAGGTCGCCTGAGCAACTGATTGCTCTGTATATATTGATCCCTTTATAGCCCCCTACTCAAAGAAAAGTATCAATTGTAGCTCTAAGCCAAAGAGTTTTCTTAGATATAGTATTTTTAAATCACTTCCAAGTTGTTAGAGCTTTTTCCACAAGTGACTGCAAATTTCTAAAAAGGGATAAGAATTTCTCACCTGTGCTCAGATGTCCAAGGTTGAGTCCCAGGTGGTACAATAATACTACACCTGTGCATTTTGTACTGGGGCTGTTGTGTCTGCTCCTATCACGATGATGTGTAGTGTGGTCAAGAGAGAATCCATTCCTAATTTGTTCACAATGCTTGGCAGAGGGATTTTCTGGAGCACAATTTGTGGGAGAAGTGGCTGGAAGAAAGAGGTGGGTCAAGGCAGTAGTGAAGAGAAAGTTTGGGGACTGATTGTTAACAGATCATCCAGCAGCGTATTGCCCTTTGTGCCGCAGAGGTGGTTGAACATGCTTGCAGTGTGACATCCCTCATCCTTGGGGAGACCATGCCCTCCATCACTAAAGACATGGACACTTACACCTACCGCCTGCCTCTGGGTGTGTGTGCTGGCATTGCACCATTCAACTTCCCAGCCATGATTCCTCTTTGGATGTTCCCCATGGCTATGGTTTGTGGAAACACCTTCTTGATGAAACCATCTGAGCGTGTACCAGGAGCACTAATGTTCCTTGCCAAGCTGTTTCAGGATGCTGGTGCCCCTGATGGAACCCTGAATATTATCCATGGACAACATGAAGGTAATAACAACCCTTCCTGGGAGATCATGAGTGTGTGTGGTGTGGTGTATGCTCAGTGGGAGGTACCAGTTGGAGAGTCTGAGACTGCTGCTGTTAGATAGGTTTGGACTGATGCTTCAGCTGTATTGATAAAGCTGAAAGGTGAGTGGGAGATTCTCTGTCACCTTGCATCAAATCTTTAAGGAAGATATGGTGGACAAAATTTTGGGGATTGGGGTCAGAGTTCCCAAGGCATGTAAGTGCTCAAAGTCTACTTAGCAACCTAAACTGCAACTGAAATAAGTAGATAAATCATCTTGGTTTTGCAAGGAAGCCTAAGCAAGAATTAAATGCCTCACTGACTATACAGTGGATGGCAGTATCCTGGCTCCTACCATGCTATTTTTTACAGCACACAAGTAGCTTCAGGACATGATGATACAAATAGAAAACAGTAACTTCACTTTGGCATTGCTCAGACACCTTAGGTGCCCAAGGCATGTAGAGTAGTAAGAGAGCCAGGAGAATGAAAACGGGGTAGGAGTATGTGTCGTGAGAAGTGAGTGAAAAGTTACACAGACAGGCTTTCAGGAAACTCAGATGCAGGAAACACAGAAGCAAGAATTTTGATAAGAAAGATGCATAAATTTAGTGCTGTGGGGATGGGAACAGAGGGGAGCATTTGTGCACCACAGTTATAATGTATTATTTCCTGTTTGAAGCTGTGAATTTCATTTGTGACCATCCGGATATCAGAGCAATCAGCTTTGTGGGATCTAATCAGGCTGGCGAGTACATCTATGAGAGAGGATCCCGGAATGGCAAGAGAGTCCAGGCCAACATGGTAATGTCTCTGAACAGAGCACATTTGAGCACATAGACTACCTCTGTCGCCTGTGAATGTTAAGTGAGACCACACCACTCAGCAGCAGAAGCTAACTTTGCTGCTGATAGTTAAGTGATAAGGCTGCTCTCTTGCCAGCCTGTTGGTAGCAGAATCATAGCTACTATAAGAAATCATTGCCAGAGGGCTAGAGAAGAAGCGGTCTGGGGTGGTTAATAATGGGAGACTGTGTGTGTTGTTTTTCAGGGAGCCAAGAATCATGGTGTGGTGATGCCTGATGCCAATAAAGAGAACACTTTGAACCAGCTGGTTGGAGCTGCTTTTGGAGCAGCTGGCCAACGCTGCATGGCCCTGTCTACAGCAATTCTAGTAGGAGAAGCTCAGAAATGGCTGCCAGAGCTTGTGGACAGAGCCAAAAATCTACGAGTAAATGCAGGTACAGACTGAGATAATTTTTACGAGGTACTCCACTTCTGTACAACCATAGCTTTTTAGGTCAGCTTTTCTGCCATACCGTGTAGTGACCCTTGGGCTATTGGCACCACCAATGTGGTTTGATGTGTAGGGGTAGGAGCTAGCAGGTTATCTAGATTGGGAAATCCAGCCCTAGACTTGGAGGTAGGAACATGTTTTCAGCTTGCTGGTGGGATTGATGCAATGTTTACAGGATCAGTCTTGTTTTAACTGGAGATGTGAGGTTAAATCCTCATATGTGGAGTTTTAACACATCCTCATATGTGAGGTTTAACTCATATCTGCCATTTATATAGCAACCTCATTTCCAGATCCTTCCAATTTGTAGTAAGCATACAATAAAAAAAGAAAAATGGAAACAAATACTTAGAAAAATCTAGACTGTTATTAATTCTAGGGGAATTGTATTTTGTTTATGTTCAATAAAGTGCTGTGAAAGGGAAATGTTTCCTTCCTGAGAAGAATCTATTGTTGAATTTTGGCTTTCTGGTGATTCCATGTTGATTATGAGAGCTGCGGGCTATTGTTCCTGTTCATCAGTGTCTCAAATCTGTGTTCTATGTCTCAGAAACATCAGGATTTTCAGATTTTTCCTACCAGTGTAGTTATCTCCCAGATGCCTATGAAAGGGAAGTTGTCAGAGTTAGAAATTTGGTGTCTCTGCCTCTTCACAGGAGACCAGCCTGGAGCAGATCTTGGGCCTCTAATCAGTCCCCAAGCTAAGGAACGGGTTTGTAGTCTGATTGAGAAAGGAGTGAAAGAAGGTGCCAGCCTTCTCCTGGATGGACGTAATGTCAAAGTGAAGGGTTATGAAAATGGCAATTTTGTTGGACCAACAATCCTTGCCAAAGTCAAGGTAAGATGGCCAAAACCAGTGCTTGCAAGTGTGTATTGCAGGGTCAGCTGAAAAATGGGTTAGCCAAATCAGGCAGTAATCAATGATCACCAAGTAGAAAGGCCATAAATGGCTCAACTTTCCCTTGCACAGTGTCAATTAAGTACTCCTTGTAATGCAGGCAGTAAAAGCAGAAAGCACTCTGGAGATGAAAAGCGGTGCCTTTTTTAATGTACTAGATAGAGGATAGGGCATGGGAAATGAAGAGGTAAGGAGGACTGAAGGAAGGCCTGTGGCAATGTAGTATGATAAGTAATCCTAGGAATATCATGAGTACTAACAGCATGTGTGTTTCTTATATCCTGTTTACTATGATATTTTTATTATATCCTTTATACAAACTGATTTTTCTGCTGTCTGTATTGGCAGCCAAACATGACTTGCTATAAGGAGGAAATCTTTGGGCCCGTTCTAGTGGTGCTGGAAGCAGACACTTTGGACGATGCCATTGAGATGGTGAACAATAACCCCTATGGGAATGGAACTGCAATCTTCACCACCAATGGAGCCACAGCTCGGAAGTATTCTCACTTAGTAGATGTAGGGCAGGTATGTTCCAGGTAGAATTGTTGCTTGTAGCCCTCACCATTTACAGTGGGTTCATTCAGCTGTAATCGCTGCCCTCTCAGCCAGCAGTACCCAGCCTCAGACATAAGAAAACAAAACGCAGAAGCATTTGGAGAGTGCTCTGCAATCTGTTATTTCTTGTGACTAATATGGCAGCTTTCCTTTGGTGTAGGTGGGTGTCAACGTTCCAATCCCAGTACCTCTGCCCATGTTCTCTTTCACTGGCTCTCGCGCTTCTTTCCGAGGGGACACCAATTTCTATGGCAAACAGGTAACTTTCTGATTCAAAGTACTCTATTGGGTTGAATTGTGATAAATCATGTTATAAATGGCAATGGGGAGATGGTCATCAGACTTCAATAGTGAGGAGACTTCAAAGCCATTTCAAGCAGGAAACTGAAAACCAGACAGTGATCACAGCACCATAATGCATGTCACAATCATAGATAGCCCATTTCTCTTTATTTTTCTCTTAAGTAAAAACATGCATGTCTTTTTAGGATATTTTAGAAAGGAAGAAATAACTAGCAAGCTTTCTCACGGAATCAGAATCTTTGTGAAACTGGTAAAAAGAACAGCCTGGCAAGAATTGTTTCCAGAGAAGAAAATTCAATCCTGTTTATATAAAGCAAAGACTGTTTGATATACCACTAGTGTAGACCTGAGGAATTCATAAGGCTAAATATCTGATATTTGGATCTCTCCTTTCCTCCAGGGAGTGCAGTTCTATACACAGCTGAAAACTATCATTTCTCAATGGAAAGAGGAAGATGCCACCATTGCCAAGCCTGCTGTGGTTATGCCAACTATGGGAAACTAAACCAGCCTTTTTGCAGATGCTGTTCCTGGTGCCCATCTATGCTGCACTTTCCAGCTTTGTCCCGACTATCATCCTTTACTTGGGAATGCATAGCAAGCTCCTTTGTCTCAAGGATCTATTCCTGTGCAGGCTCATGTGCCTCATGGTCTGGATTTTCTGTTGCTGTCAGTGTTTTTTTGGTTAGCTGAACTAATTTTTTCCATACAGCCTTTCAAAGACTAAATAGCCTTATCTAACTGAAAGGGCAGCCACTGAGATGGGTCTTAATTTGTGTTTCTTTCCAGACCCCATGAACTTGAACGTAACTCTGGTTTTCACTTCAGTATCTTTAGCCTTAGTAACTCACTCCTGGCTACATCTTGTAGCAGGTTTATTTACCTCTTTATCTTGCATATTAAGATTCTAAGTTCACCTTACTCAAAGATGAGTACTCATTTTGAGTGACATAACTGGGACATCTTGGGTGTCTCATAGAAGACATATGATGAAGATAGCAAGTTGTCAGTCACACCTGTCGAGCAGTTTCCAAAACACTGGGAAATAGCTTTGTGTGGATTTTTCAGGAAAGCATATTTGATTGCTTGTCTGAGGATGAAAGAAATTTCTGTATGGTACGGTGACCTTTGCTGTACCACTGACAGCTTGAATACTTCTGTTCCTGTTTTGTCTGGGGCTTGTATGCTCAAGCTTGCCAGCAATTCCATTATAGTTGAAAGTTGTTTGGTGCCTTTTCCCTGTGCTAAGGGATACAAACCTACACCATAACGAAACTCTGGAAGGAGAAACATAACCATGTATATGTATCTTTGTGTCACAGCATCATGTGAATCTGACTAAAATAGAGCCTAAGTCGACAGGTCAGTAGGAAGAAAGAACACATTTTTTAATCACAAAGCAGCCTGTTGGCTTTCTGTCCTGATTGTAGCTGTATTTCTTGTGTTGGTTGATTGACTCCTTGTCACATTTGCTCAAAAACAATCACGTACTCTTGGGACTGCAAGTTCCTATTGCTAGAGAGGAGTAAGACTTGGTATATACAATCTGGTTTTAAGAATCTCTGCATTTGGAGCTGGAGAACCTGTATTTTTATTTCGTTCCTGAACGATGATGCAGCCACGAAGGATCTGCAGGGATCTCACTCAAACATCCATGGAAAATAATATTCTTCTAATGTTTGTAACCATTAAGTGTTCTAATTAAACTATCTGAATGTGAACACTTTGTAGCCTGCCTTCTGGTAAAATGCCTTGTAACTGACAGCTCTATATTAGTGCAATTGCTGTACATTCACTAATGTTTGTACCTTGTTTTTTTTTTTTTCCTCTGCTATACACTAGAGGGAAATTCTCACCTTACAATTTGATTACAAATTAAAAACATGCTAATATATTTCTGCAGACCATGACTGTTCCTTGGTAAGACCTTACATACGTGTAGTGTTGATTTTATTCCCCACTTCACAGGAGATGGTCTGCAACTCCTGTAACCCATGTATACATTTTCCTTTTACAGTATTTCAGGGACTTCTGTACCAGTTTCCTCACATAGCATTTCAAGGAATGCCTTGTTTCTGTTTTCATGTACACATAATTTGATCACAGACATCTTCACGAAGTTATACCAGCACTTTATACACATAGTTCTAGTGCTTTGTACAGGGTCTTGCAAGCTCCTGGCTTCGGAAAAAATGAGGTCTTTAAGAAGGAGAAAAATAAGTCTATTTCAGATGGATTTCAAATGCAGAGTCAAAGCAGCAGTGCAACAGACAGGGGATCTAGAATTCACAGCCTTACTCAGAAGCTAACTTTCAAAATGAAAAGTGCAGATGAGTTGCTAATTGCTGGCTGCTTGGCTGCTGTTCATGGAAAGTATATAGCTGCCTTACTTGGTCTGTGCTTTTAACATCTCAACATGTGGAAGGATCACTGCCGAAGAGGATGAATCTGATAATGTGGCCTGCTGTGTAATAAATATTGGGTTGAGAGAAGTATCTTCTGTGCTGCAAAGGTAAAATATTCTAGGTAAGTCACTATTAAGACATTGGCATTCATTCAAACACTTGGGAAAGAAATAGTGATTAAGAGTCTCTAATACTATCTACAGTCATTTACTTTCAAAATGCCTTTGTTTTCTCCCTAATCAGCATTGCTATTCTGACTTTTTCATAGTTAACCCTTTGAAGACTATTAAAAACAGTTTCTTGCTCAGAAAGCACTGAAATCTAGATTCTGAAAGCTATTTAATAAACGTAAGTCCAAAAATTGTTCTAAAATGGCTTAACCTCCTCTGAGACTTTGGCCCTGTGACTTCCACTCACAGAGGTTTTTTCCTGTCTGTGTCAAGAAAAAGACTCCAATCCACTTCCATGTCCATTTTTGGAAAGTGGCAACCTGCCTTTCCAAAGGAAGTGTCTCACATCTTTCTATACATTTATGTGTAAATGCCTCCAGGGCTCCTGTTTATGAACTTTATCTCATAATTTGGTGTCTGAATATTACACTTTGACTCGTGTGCTTGACTGCCTCACATCTGACAAGCTGTGCATGCCAGAACCCCGCCCTACCTTTCCTCCAGGTAAGCCGACACTGCTCGCCTCAGAGTGTTATAATTAGCAATAAAGTTGTATCTGAGTTTAGGCATATGAGTCTTCATCATGGTCCACCCTCTGTGATTCTATACTGAATGCAACACCAGCTGCATAGATTTCGCCTTTTTGATCAAAACTCACTGTGCTAGCTGAAAATGCATCTCCTTGTATGATCATGGACTTTCACAAGAGCATCCTCTAGAAAACATAAGAGAGGGCTTTAGGAGGTCATGAGATTTTTTTTTTCCATGAGAACTGTGTCTAAATGCCTCCTGCTGAAAGATCAACACAAAAACAAATCTTAAAATTAAAAAAAAAAGTCCTCACTTTTGTCACACAAACATTCATGTGCATATAAATACACCACTATAATCTTATGTCCCAATTCACATTTTATAATACACTTAATTCTTCTTGAATTTTGAATTTCCAGTGTAAGACATATTTTAGGTATCTCTAAAGTCATGATCCCACATTTCTTATGCAGCCAGCAATGAACCATAGAGTAAGTAAACTTTTCATAATCTGGCTGTGGATATTTGTACTTTTTAATACTGGGAAGTTTGCTTTACAATACTCTTATACAGAAATATACCTGGGGAGTGCTACTGTCACAATAGATATTATTTACTTATTTGGTAAAGATGGATAGGGATTCATTCATGACTGAACAAAATAAATCCCACTGCAGTGAGCAAAGGTAATTCTCCTGACTTCTATTTTTGACCTTAGCAGTACCAAAATTTATTTCCACTTGTTTTTCTCCTGATACAATACACGAAGATCTAACAGTATAGTCTAGTGCATGTACAAAATCAGTATATGGTATACCAACTTTTTCAAAAAGTTTAAGTACCTCACACCAAGAACTTACTAGAATCCTGTGAACTGGACTGACCAGCCCAGTTCAGTATCCACCTACTGAAGAAACAAAAGATTACCATGGATTTGTCCCATTCATTTGGACAAAAAGCAATTGCAAACGTTTTTTTTTTTCCTCATGTCAACTTACTGATACCCAGTTTTTCAAAATTTTTTTCCCCCTGAAAAACACAGAAAAGATCAATGAATTAGAAGAAAATTTCAAAGGCATATCATTCATGGATTCTGTATGTGTAAAACAGGTTTAAAATTCTAGTTCTGCCTTGCTTGTATTCAGCTTTTCATAGCACATACATTTAAAAAAATAAATGTAAGCAAACAGTGTTGTGTTTTCAACTTCTAAATCTATGGCTACCTAAACTAAACAAAACAAACCCACTGACTTCTGCTCTGTTAGTGGTTACATGATAAATACTGGGAAGCGGAGGCCTTGTATGAACATTCACTAATTTCAAATACATTGTCCTTTCCTTATCTCTCCTGTTCATACATCCAAGGATCAATACACAATTTTCTCTCTCTCTCTCTCCAGGGGAGAAGATTCCTTAGACCTCAATTACAAATTTCACCCCTAGTGTTTCAAGGAGTGTTTCTGCTGTATCATTTTTGAGATAACCTGAACAAAGCATTCCAACTGACTATGTATCACCAAGTTATTCAGTAGCCAATCCATACTAAACAAACATTTTTCTGGGGTTTAGGATCATATTAATCTCTCACCAAGGACATATGAAAGCTTCAGCTATGGGGGACCTTAACTCTATGACTTAAAATCCAAGTGCTCAGACACTGCTGCAGTTGGTAGGTACAGATGTCTAGCACAAGGCTGGAGACCTGAAATCCTGGCTACTGCAGCATATGTAGCTCTAGTTTAATTTAAATGGTATCCTAACAGAAATTCTGAGATACACTTGTAAATCTGAGATTTTTATTCACTATAAAATGTAATCCTGTCAATCAGTACTGCACTGCATGTGATCCTGTCTTCAATATGTCAGCATCCATTTCCTGTAATTACTTAATTTTTAGATTATTAGAAAGCTTGAGGAAAACAGCCTTGAAAGCACAATACAAAGCAGGGGCTTCTGAAGTATGGGAAACCAGTGGAAAACAGACTGGATTTGCCATCTACTGTATATTTCTTTTAAAATGATCAGCAATATAGTAAAGAGCTGCTAGCACCTTAATTGTAATTTTTTAGGCTGCACTGTTAGGTCACTGAAGTGCGTAAAAAGCAAAAGAGCAATGCTAGAAAAAGCAATACCTATAAAACAAAAACGCAGCAAAAATAATAATTAAAATGAAACTACAGAAGCACATCTGTACTAGAAGTTCTCTATCAAATTCCACATAATATGGCAGAATGTGCAAATAACTCTTTTGAGTTTACCTTTCATTTAATCCATAGAAATAACGAACAAAAAGTGATAACCTAGCTGAAATTAGGTTCCCACAAAGTCATTGCTAATTTATAGGATACTGCAAATAATACAGTTATTCTCACTACAGAAGTCTCCACAAGAATTCCAAATCCAAAAAATATTATCATGAAAAGGATTTTTTAGGTGTCTGTCTAGGAAGATGGATACTAGTTATTAATGTTTCAATACCAGCAGCAGTTATGTGCTTCCTCTAGATTTCTGTGCACATTATTTATGCTCTTTCTGTTGCTTTTGAATGTTTTGATTTGGGGAAATTGCTTCTTCGCTGCACACGCCTCCATATATTTTTGTTATAGGCAGTTTGGGCCCTTTTTATTTTAATGCTTTCTACTGGATACGATCTCCCAATTCACATCACAGAGCACCTATATAGAATCTTTCCACCACAGTCCCCTCATTTAAGATACTCCGTGCTATGGTCCTCACTCAGTCCATCTCTCAATCCTTCATTTCTAGTAGTTGCTGCAGTTTTTTGATCTGAACCATACTTGGCTGGCGCTGAGTTTTCTGTCTCTCTCACAGATTTTCTGGTCACGCGCTGTAAGGCCATTTCCAGCGTTTCCACCTTATACTGCAGCTGTCTGGTCTGTGCTACACATGGTGGTGCAGTGCTGAGAAACTTTAGAAAAGGAGAAAAAGTGACAGATACAGAAAGAAAATTGGCCATCTGGAAAAAGTCCAAGAAAGATCTTTTATACTAGATAGGCTGAAAGCAAGCACTGGCACATGAGCAAGAAAATAGTTTCCTACCAACTGACCTGATTAATGTCTGGGGATCAGAGCTTTGTATCTTCTCATTCAAAAATAGGATGTTAAAATAATTGATTTTTCGTTTGCATTTTCAGATTTTTTTTTTTTTCCTAAAAGGGGCTTGCTCGGTGCTTGGATTTAAAAAAGTAGGAATGGGAGTAAAGTCAAATAATCTGTGATAGAGCAAATGGGAGCACAGCACAGCGCTTTTTCATTGTGTTCTGAGTTCGGCGCCGTTTTCTCTAAAACCTTCCCCCGGGGCCGAGCCCGGCAGATTCCGTCCCAGCTTTCTCTGTTTCGATCTGAACCAGCGCTCCAGCCCCGCCGCGGCCATCGCGCTGAAGGCCCCGGCCACCGCCGCGCCCCTCGGCCGGTTCGCTCCGCCGTTCGGCGGTGCCTCACGAAGGAGCGGGGGGAGCCCCGGCCGCCGGGTTCCCGCGGGAGGGAGCGGGCGGCGGGCGGGGGCGGCACGGAGGGTTCGGCCCGGCCCGCCTCGCGCCTTCCCGCCCGCGGGGGGCGCTGCCGCCCCACAGCACGGTCCCGGCGGGACGGGCGCTGCCTGCGGGGAGCTCGCGCGGTCCGGCCGCGCCCGGAGGCAGCGCCGGTCCCGCCGTCGGGAGCTGCGGCGCCGGTGGCTCCGCGCCGGGAGCGGCGCCCGTTCCCGCGGAGCCCGGGCGGCGCGCGCCCGCCACGCGCAACTCCCGCGACGGGCTGCGCGTCACGTGGGC